GAACTAGCTATTCATCTGTTTCTTTTTTTAAAGCGGTCCCTTTATGCTTTGCAGATGATGAGAAAAAAAAAAAAAAATAAACCTCCAACCACTCCCCGGCTTGCATGTCTCTATGTACCGTTCGACCTCTAGCTCACTCTATACATATACTTATACATACATACGTACATACATATCCGCCGGCGGCTTAATTAACTATCGCCATCCCTCTCCCCCATCTCGAAGAGCTTGCTTTTTCCTCCCACTGCTTGCTTTTTCCCCCCCTTCCTCTGTTCCCAGCCATGGCCTTGCTTATATCGACATGAGTGGAACCCTCACGTCTCCGTAGGCTCTTTTTCTTTTTGTTTTTTTTAAAACGGACTCTTCTTTATATCACTCCCTTGCTCTCCCACTTTACTTCTGCAACAAGCTCTCCCTCACCAGTGTCGAGGATCAAGGGCCAGTCCGCTTCTCAATCGCAGTCCAACGACTCCCATCAATCAAGCAGCCAACAAACCAACCAACCAACATATCATCATCGCGTAACAATTGCTTTCGACAAGACAATATCTCCAGCTTGCTTGTCCACAGTTGAAACGGAGAGGGGGGGGAACTAGAGAAGGGAAACAAACAACAACGTGCAAAAAGGAGCAGAGATACGGAAACTCTTCCCTCTCGCTTCGTCCACAAAGAGGCCTATTTTCAGCATCTTCAACGGCTATCCCAGCATCCATAGAAGATAGCAAGAAACGGAAAAAGGGCCGTAAGGAACCTGGGGGTGAGGCTGCCATTATCTCTTCTGCATCCGTTGCCAGGTCAGTACAAAGATCAATCTCATCCAACAAAGACCAGCATAGAGAACCCCCCCTTACTGTCAAATCTTCTTCACAAGGTGCCGTGTTTCGTCAATGGTATCCTGCCTGCATCCAGAGAACGCAGAGCTAAGAGTCAATACACGGATATGCTGACTAGGCTGGAAAAATGCCATGTTTTAGATCTTAGGAAAAGAAACGGTCAGGTCAAGCTGGCCAACCTGCATGTCTCTGATTCGCAGTTGGTTCTTTTTTTTTTTTTTTTTTTTTTTTTTCTCAACTCACTCTTAAGTAAGACTCTGAGATAGGGTCTTTGCGAATCTGGTCAAATTTCTGTTTCCTGCTTCTCTGAATTGCCAAACGGGTGGTTGCAATATTCTACCAAGCAGAAGAGAAACAATCTGGGTATCCACCGGCATCTTTTTGCTATATTGTTTGCAGTTCAGGGAGGTTTCTGTCTATTTCCCCCATCCCCTTAGTTGCTCTTAGGCCTTCACTCCGTCCTTCTCACTCCCTTCTCACTTCGGCCCTTCACTACTACCATCATCAGCTGTCCTGGTTGGCGTGGAAGTATATCAATCAGCCTGCCCAACTGGAGGGGAAGCAAAGCCCAGAAGACAAAAAGAACGCCAGAGAAGAGGAAACTCCCGTTCAATATTCACCTGGAAGAGCTCGTCTGCCGGAAGATCCCACTAGCATCTGCTGCTACGGTCCCGGATTCGGCCGTTTTCCTGCTATTTCTTTCACCGACTGCAGGAGAATCCCCTGCGCGCGCCTCACCTCGCCGTTTTCCTCATTCTCAGCTCCCGCACAGTCACTAACCGCGAGGAGGTCTACCGCTCCCGGCTTTTGATATATCCTGCTTCTCAAACAGCGACGCTGGGGCCAAGGTGCAGCTCTCATCCCCTCTTCATTGTGGAGGAAGTGTTCTTTTCTTGTCCCCTTTGCCGCAGCCCCTGAAAGATCTCGATTCGCTGGCCATAGCTCCAGTCCTCCTTATCAAGCGGTCTCTGTTCTGCCCAAATGAAACACCAATCTGGATAGCAAGGCACGCTCCAGACATCCAGTGACGGCACCCAAAACTGAGGTAAAACAATCTGAGAGCAGCCTATTGTCACTGTCGCGGAGATTTCCTTCGCCTCTTGTCAGCCCCTCTTCTCTTCAGGGCTGCAATCAAATCTTTCATTCATAACCTGCAAACAAACCCTTCTTCCTGATAATACCCCCCTCCTTTTTTTTTTTTATCTGCCTTCCTGCGCTCTTAACAGGGACACAGACCTTCTTTTAAAAAGCCAGTAAAGGAGAAAAGAAAGGCTTGTCCTTCTGCTATTGTTAATCATGTTTAACCAGCAGCCTCCTTCTCCTCCACCATCGAATGACGGTGACGTTAAGCTTAGTCCGCAGGCGATATCACAGACTGGCTTCCAGCAACACCCACAGAAACTACAACAACCATACCCTCAGACATACTCTCACAGCCAACCACAACAACTCCACCCGCAACAGCAGCTTGGGCATATCCCTGCAGGGCAGCCGTACTCTTATAGCTATTTGGAAGCTAGTACTCCAGCTATGAGTGGCCCAATGGTTAGTATATATTTTCCCCGTCCTGGCATAAAGCATTATTTCTAACAGAGAAACGTTTGGAAATAGCAGAATGGGTATGAATCCAACTCTATGTATCACAGTATGACTAGTGGTGAACATGACACTTCGCTCCCAGCTCTGGTAAGCAGCCCGACCGTGAGATATGCAGCAGAATTAATACCAGTTGGAAAAGAAAGAATAGCCGCTAATCCTCTCACTTATCACAGACATACCACCGCGCAGGAGAAATGCCAGTACCGGCCACTCTTAGTGCTGGCGAGACAGTAGAAGATCTCAAAGAGGAGCTGACTATCGCCAAGTCCAATACTGACGATAGAGTCCGCATAATAAGACCAGCAAAGCTCAGACGGCGACCAAAGCCAGCGAAGGCTGACAAGGGAGATGGACCAACCATTGACGCTCCGCTTAGTGAGCTGACAAAAAACATGCTACATATCCCCATCCGTGATATGGCTGTCTGGGTTAACCGTCCAAAGGAGACTCGTTTGGAGGAAGTAAAGTCGAAGAACGGCAAGATTGCCCGCCCCATGAACTCCTTCATGCTATACCGATCAGCCTATGCGGAGCGGACAAAGGAATGGTGTGCGCAAAACAACCATCAAGTTGTTTCACGGGCCTCTGGACAGAGCTGGCCACTTGAGCCTCGAGAGATTCGAGACTTGTATGAAAATTATGCAACCATAGAGCGAGACAATCACCACAAGGCACACCCAGACTACAAATTCGCTCCAAACAAAAACCAGGGCACGTCGAAGAACCAGAATGGGAGTAAGAATCCGGGCTCCGCATCCAAAAAGAAGCGTCCCCACGAGGACGAACTTAGTGACTTTGAAGACCAGCCATGTGATATCACATCATACCCCCATCCATCAAGGAGGCGACGAACTTTGGGCCCCAATGGTGATGCTAGTAATAGCAGAAACTCCACTCCATGCGACAACGACAGTACTTATGACAGCCGCAACTGCACTCCTATCCCGCATTCACAGATCGAGATTTACGGAACTGGGGATGTTAACCGCTCGTCTTGGGAGATGATCAACCCCGGAAGACCTCATCCTGGTATTATATCACAACCGGAGCAGACCCATTACTACCAGCCGTCGATCCACCAGAGCCTTCTTGGGTCCAACATCGAAGACGTGACATACAGAAGAATCGGTATGCCCGGCGGAGTGGCCTATGATGCTACTGCTTCAATGGTTAATATTTCAGGTGGCACCCATCCAGACCTTCTTCAGCCACAACCACTAAACCACAACAGAATGTCCGTCTCTATGGGCGAAGTCCAGGTTGATCCCCAGTTACTGAACCTTGAGCCAACAAACACACCACTTCCAACAGATACGGGTAGCAGCTTTGGGAACCAAAATGATTTTTGGCAATTCAACTCCACTAGCAACCAGCACTATGTTCCAGGGTACATGTCGACCCCTGAAACTGACCAATATCATCATGCAACACTCCCGCCGTCGTCAATGGCCACTGGTTTAGTGGCTGACCGTGTTATGTGGCAAAATGCCCATACAATTCCAGGCGAAGAACTTAACGAATGGTTTGGCGGATCAACTGTAAACTAAACACAGTGGGCAAGCTGAACCTTTGGACAAAAGTAAACGTCAATGCCCCTTTCCCTCCAAACTCAAATTTCCCTTCTTCCCATGTTTTATTGCAAACATTTCTCCCCTTTATTTCCCTATTTGTGTTTCATGCTTCACGGTGGCACCGGCAACTGCGGCTCTTTCGAATATATGGTATGGATGCGGATGGCAGGCGCACAGAGGAGTGATTGGAATGCTGGCGTTATCATCATGGTATCCAATCTTTTCTCCCTTATTGGCTCCATCATGAAACATGATTTCTTTTAAGAGTCGAGATTGGAAAATACCAAAATGGACTCCCCTTGTTTCCCTTTTGTTCCGTTACTTAAGCATCGGCATCTTCCCTTGGTATCACATTTCTTTTCACATTACTCCCTTCCCTCTACTCAGCACGGCTCCCCGGTTCCCTTCCTTATTACTATCTCATGTTTATGCTTATGCCATCGGAGGCTTTCTCGTTGCGTTTGGATACCTTTCCATCCATGAGACTTTTGCATCATCATCATCATCATCATCATCATCTGGGTTGGTAATAGTGACTTTGTGTTTTTCGAATATTTTTCCGTAGTATATTAGTTTAGTTAGAAAGTGCACTCTTCACAGAGAATGGGATTTGATTCGCTTTCATATCTTCACTTCACGTCAGGAAGAAAATCGTGAAACACTTGACGTTGGCTTTTGGTGTTGAGGCTCAATCTTTGCTGGTGGCTTGGCGCAGTTTGTTTCAGTGAGCGTTCATGAGTTAGGGCTTAGTTATCGATAAGTCAATTAACTAAGCTCTCGGTCACGCGTGCTCTTTGCGCTCGACTTTTTGCAATTCAACAAGGCATTTCCTTTTTTCTCGTTTGCTCATTGAAGCATCCCCTGACTATGAAGGGCATCCATATACAGAGAGCGAATTCATCCATCTACAAGAGGCCGCTAAAGCTACATCTTTCTTGGCTCACTCTTTAATTTCGGCTAATTGAATCCAGCCTGCAGTTCTACCCCATCCTTCAACATGTATGGTGATTTGGGGACGAAGCTGGTATGTTGGTTTGCTCTGTGTACGGAGTATAATTGTATATTTAAGGCAGATTACTTGTGCAATATGCTAATTTCTCCAGATTCAACATGCCAAACGCACTCAGTCCCTCGCATACCTACCCCCCTACCAACGCGAGATTGTCCAAGCGGTGACTCGCGAAGTTCGTGACCTCGACAAAGATGTGAGCCGTATTCTTGAACAACTGGAGCAAGCACGAGCTGCTGCAGAGGGAGAAGAGGGAGGCAATCCCCCTTCATCCTTTAACCCCGCGGATGACCCTGCTACCGCCTGCGCTCTATTAGTCGACCATTTATCAATGAGGCGAAATAAACGTTGTCTCCTCGCATACCATAGAATTCGAGCAGAGAAAATAGAAGAAATGTGCTGGAATGGAATAGACCCGCTAGAACACCAGCAAAGACAGCGGGAGATAGAGAGTGGGAACAACAATAGCGAAGACTATGTAACAACCAGAACTGATAGAACGCCCCTCTCGAATGCGCATTATAACAGTTCACTCACACCAGTGGAAGAGGAATACTTTCGACAATACAATGAGATGTTGATGGCGTACAAGGGCCACTGGACTGATGTTGATTTAACTGGTAGCCTAGAACCACCGAAGGAGTTATACATTGACGTTCGGGTTCTGAAGGATGCTGGAGAAATCCAGACTGAATACGGGTAAGTGGTCTCATTCTGAATATGGCTCAACCTTTACCCACGTGGTTCTAGTCTAGCACTTTTGCATCCGTACTCGAAGGCTAATGGCGTTGAACTCTTCGCTTCGGGAGATACATAGGTCGATCAATTTGACAAAGAATAGTCAGTTCTTCGTGAGGCTGGGGGATGTAGAGCAACTAATCACCCAAGGTTACCTTCAACGATTAAATTGAAAATCACTCTTTCTTCGCCAAAGCTAGGCCATGTGCGAGAAAACTAATGTTGAATGACTTGACTTCTGAATGGCCACCCGCTTGGAAGTACCGTATACATTTCCAAAGTCAAAGAAAATCGGCAACCTTATTCCCCGTTCCAGGCCGAACAATCGAATCGTCCATAGTCCCCTTTCTGATCCCCTTGATTATTCCCTCTCTTGTCTTCGATCCCCTATAACCCCCTTTGGCCCCTCCATCATCCATCCAACCAGCTACTTGCCCGCAGAAAGATGGCTGCAACCGTGGTATTCAAGAAGCCAAACTCGGGATTTCCTTCTCCCCTCTGCCACGTTGTGTCAACCTTCCTTAGCCTTCTTTTGCGTTTGTGGCGTCCCACCAACAAACAGCCTCACAACACCATCTCGAAGACAGACAAGATGATATTCCCGCGGATACAGCCTAGTCTGCAAATTAACTGCTTTAGCCAGTATTTCAAGCCCCTCCGCCAACCAGGGATTTTCGACAGCAAATGAACCGAAAATTCTTGATGTATACCTTTAAAGCCTGGTTTATTGTTGGAATCAGCTCCCAGATGGTTATGGGGAAATCATACCACTAGATCACAGTGGGCTACCGGTTCCGACCCGCGTATAAATGCAACTTTGAATAAATGCCGATAAAAGTTGCTAGTTTTATTCCCGCGCACGGGTAAAGCAACCGCACTAGCAAACTGGATAGTAAGAATGAAGGGATGGTTTGACCGTCACAGACTACTGATGGATGAACCACTGGCCGACCCGGTTTCACGTAGCCAACTAAATACCAGTTCAATACTCCATCAAGTGTAAACTATCGGGGTAAAATCTCTCCTAAATTCCTCCTAATGGCATTGGGAGATCGTCTTTCGTTTTAGTACGGGAATCTAGCAGTCGATAGGAGTTCTGTGCAAGAATACCTGAAACCGAGAAAAATCTAAAGGGTTATGTAAGAGTGGTAGATTTCAATACATCAGCATATGGAGTCCAACTCAACCAACGATCCAGTGTATTACCCCTTGTCGCTCGGTATCTAAGTGTGCGATATAGCCGAGCGGCAAATGTAAACGATCGATCAATAAACCTCGAAACAAAATGATCCAACTTCGAAGTAGCCAGTATAATATCACTCTGGGTATCTTCGGTTGACAACTAACAGAGGCTGTTCGCATACATTTCCATCACTGGGCTCCTCAACTATATCTTGGCACCGCCGTAGCGAAGATAATCGCAGATGATGTTCCGTACTTCCAGGTCTTCTACTTCACTCACATCCATGGGCTTCCTACTGTTAAGACGCCACGTCCTGTCCTCACTATACCAGTCTTCACAGGATAGGTTTTAATGCAAATTTACGGATTGTCACCCCGACTCCATAGAGACCATCCTCAATCGTTGGAGACGGATCGGTGAAATCGGGCCGGTACTGAGCCTGCTTTGGTGATACTTCGTTTGTTGTTGTCATATCATCCCACTAATCAGGGTCCTCCGACTCGCTCAAGTCATATATTCGGAGCCGTATATCAACGCAAACAAGGAAACTGACAGGCTTGAAATCACCATAGATAATTCCCTTAGGGTGCCATTCCTGAAGGATTGAAAGTATTTGACTCATCGGCTCTCTGCATCAGCATGGCTTAGTGGCTTAGTGGCTTTTTGGGTCAAATGGTGTCTCAAGGCTGAGGATAAGGCCCCGTAGTTCGCTCTCTCCCTTCACCATACTGAAGAAACGATCTTCCAAAAACTTTAACTGTACAAAAGTTGCATTCCCCCTGGGTTGTTGTTCCCACTTTACACCTTTCGTCCGTCTTTAAACCTGTAAACTTGGGAGTTTCATAAGAATGAAAAGTGGGTTACGACCATCGACTGCGACGACGACCCCTGCGTCCATATTTGGTGGATCTGGAGCCCATTTCTAGCGTAGGGTTGATTTTATTATCAGTTAGTGGAACGAAACATCCTGTGTTAATATGAGTACTCCGTATGTCACAGAAGTAAGTACCTAGGGCATCCGGCCTGTGTTGGTCGGCACTTGTCACGCCTACCAACACTTTAGAATGCTACCCGTCTTCCTATGCTCCTTATTTCTTGCCGAGTTGCAGTTGGTAATATTGTTTTGGCTATATAGTGGTAAGGCCTAGACGTTACGTTGACGGTGAAAGTTACTTCATGGCCTCTGTCTCCATCGATTCCTTTGCTCGTGAGTAAAAATACCTTCGCAGCAAATGATGTTGATGTTGATGTTTACCAGCTTAGATTACATAACCAGTCAAAGCATGCGGCTCGTGCGTCTTAGTCATCAGATTTGCCAAGAAAAGCTTTGAGATAAGCGTCGGTCTTGGCATCAAAACCGAACTTCAACTCCAACTTCAGCTTGACTTGGCCACTTCGCAGGGCGAGAAGAGGCGTGAGCATCGGCCATGAGACGAAGCCCGTGGATAATTTACTGGCAAGAGGTAAAACCGTCCATGCTACCATAAAGCTACCCCTGCTACCGGCGGGGGCTGGGACCGGGAGAGGGGAGAGATATCTTGTAGCCGGCTAACCATATGTGTTGATTATAGTTCGCGACTAGCGCGGTGTCAAAGCCCAGCATCTGCCGTGCATGGTCGCCACAATAATCGCCAGGGTCATCGAATCCATTTGCCTATCTTATCGCCAGGGAGGCCTTGATATAACCAAGTATGTTGAGACAAGAGGGCCAGTCGGGAAAACCAATCAGTGTGTTTTTACCCTCTTGCCGACCTCTCTCACTGTCCAGAACTGGCCACTGTTTATTAAGCTTGCACCTGAAGCGCTTTGGAAACGCCCCAAAAAGATACTTCGTATTCGCCCGGAGGTTGGTGGCCATCCTTGTACCTCGTTAGCCTCTTTGCGTCATTCCCTGCTCCGCCTGCCTAGGTCTGGTATGGAGAAGCTATCACAAGACCACTAAGAGGGGAGACATTCAAGATCACAACCATCGCCTCATCATTTGTACATGCTTCCCCTCAATATAACTTCCACTAGAATGCACCGCCTACGGATTTTGGTGTAGCCCTGGGATACGACCCCTTCTGGCCCTCCATCTTTAGTGCCATTTTCGCTTTCTTGGGTCGTGGAAAGCAACAGGATGGATGGAGGAAAGGGGAAAACCCTCCCAGCCACTGGCAGGCGCCGTTCGTCGACCTTTTCCAACCTAAGCTTCCTGAGAGATGCTGCCCCAGCTATTGATCGAAGAGTGAGTGCGACAACTACGACTGCGGGTAACAATTCGGATCTCTTGCAAGCTCCAGACGTTTCAAACGGAGCTTCATTACGTCGCCGTGTGTCTGTCAGCGAGAAGACACCGACACGATCATTTTACCATCGAACATTTCATGGGCCATTGGGTGCGTACCTAATACCGCGGATTAATCCTCCTTTTGACGCACAAAGCTAACGGCTATCTATACTTTAGACACCGCCCAATACTCCTCACTAGGAGTTCGAGAACGAACTGCGGAGATCGAGTCTCTAGCCTTATCTGACGCCGAATCAATTAGTCATAAGTCACTCTCCGGTTATGCGAGTGATCTGTCTACGTCTACTGGCGGTTTACTCGCCAGGGAAGGTTGGGCTGGGGATGGAGTGTCAGATCGTCTCACTCGGTCTCGGTCCCGACCAGAGGCCATTGAAGAAAGGTCAGAACCGACCACCCCCCGAGGATCCGCCTTCCCTTCGTTCGTGGGTGAATCTGCCTTGACTGCCATGTTACGATCGTCCCCAACAAACCCCTTGAAGAAGTCTACCAGTGCCCCCGTGCAATCTGGAAGAGACATGACCATACAAGAACCCAATGAGGATGATGAGGAAACGGCCCTTGGTCACCGCCCGGTGGCATCTATGCCTCGGATCATAGATCCCGAGCAAGCACCGTTGATTAAAGTTCAGAGCAGCTCCAAGTATGGTTCTATACCTGGCGGCCCTGAAGACTTTGGGCCCCAAAGACCAGATTTAGCTAGCTTAGGTCGATGGATGGTCTCAAAACCTCCTGCATGGGCAAAGACCATATGCAACCCACGGACGTGGGACAAAAAATCCATATATGAAAATGGAGTAAAATTACCCGTCAGCCTACTGCCAGCTGTTTTCTTAGGCCTGCTTCTCAATATCCTAGATGCCCTTTCCTATGGAATGATTCTCTTTCCGCTGGGTGAGCCCATATTTGCTGCTATGGGTGCTGACGGCATTGCCATGTTTTATGTCAGTACTATCATCTCCCAGTTGGTTTTTTCCTGCGGAGGCTCGGTCTTCAAAGGCGGTATCGGCGCGGAGATGATTGAGGTCGTCCCATTTTTCCACGCAATGGCAACACAAATTCTCACCAGGGTGGGAGACGATGACCCTAGAGCTGTTTATGCAACAACAATTTTAGCATTTTCTCTAAGCGCCATACTCACAGGGCTTGTATTCTTCAGCATGGGAGCATGCCGCCTTGGCTCCCTAATTGGGTTTTTCCCCCGCCACATTCTCATCGGCTGCATTGGCGGCGTAGGATGGTTCCTTGTCGTTACTGGTATCGAGATATCCGCTCGTTTGTCAGGCAATCTAGAATACAACCTCAAAACATTAGAGAAGCTTTTCCAGCTTGATACCATACCACTGTGGACCGTTCCGTTGCTTCTTGCAATTGGTCTGCTGGTTCTGAAGCGTTTCATACGTTCTAATTTCCTTCTATGTGCCTACTTTTTAGCCATCGGGGCCGGTTTTTACATTGTTAAGTTTATTACGAATGTTTCTATGAGTTCATTGAGGGAAGGAGGGTGGGTTTTTTATGCTCCTGCATCTTCACAACCATGGTACCATTTCTATACGTTATACGGTATGTATTGTCTGCCCACGAGACAGACTAAGATTGAGATTAACCGTCGATACAGATTTTTCGGCGGTTCATTGGGCTGCACTTGCAGAAACTGTTCCAGCCATGTTTGCATTAACATTTTTTGGAATTCTTCATGTTCCCATCAACGTTCCTGCGCTTGGTATTTCAACGGGTGAAGATCACCTGAATATAGACCGAGAGCTGGTCTCACATGGAATTTCCAATGTATTTTCCGGCTTTGCTGGTAGTGTGCAGGTATGGCTTTACTTCGTCATTCTTTTTACCGGAACGAGAGCTAACGAACAGCCTAGAACTACCTTGTATACACGAACAGTCTCCTTTTTATTGCCAGTGGAGGCAATCACCGTCTAGCAGGAATCATGTTGGCTGTTGGTACATTTGGAATTCTAGTCATTGGACCAGGTATAGTTGGATATATTCCAATTATGGTTGTTGGTGCCCTGATATATATGCTTGGAATTGAGCTTCTAGAGGAAGCACTGGTTGATACGTGGGGGAAGTTGCACAGGCTTGAGTATTTGACTGTGAGTGTGGTCTAATTTCGCTAATTGGCACGGTCCACCTGCTAATCTCAAATTGGTGGACTAGGTTGTAACAATTGTTGTCACGATGGGAGCATGGGACTTTGTTGCGGGTATTATTGTGGGTATCATCCTCGCGTGTGTCAATTTTGTGGCTCAAACATCACAAAAATCCGCGATAACAGCAACATACACAGGCCAAGTGGCCCTTTCTACCGTTCGGCGACACCCGCTGCACGCAAGGTTCCTACGTGAAGCGGGCAAGCAGACATTCGTCATCAAGCTCGCTGGTTTCCTCTTTTTCGGAACCATTGTCAGTGTCGAAAAGCGGATACGTGGATTGGTGGATGCAGAAGCATTCAGCGAGCGGCCCATCAGATTCCTCATACTTGATTTCTCATATGTCAACGGGCTAGACTTTTCAGCAGCCGAAGCCTTTACAAGGCTGAATAGGATACTGAAAAAGAAGGGAGTGCACATGCTTGTATGCGGGCTTGATATAGCGGGAGAGGTTGCAACAAGCCTGCAAAATGTCGGCCTGTTTGGGCTGGACGATGCGGTCGAGATTTTCCAAGATCTAAATTCTGCGCTTGAGCACTGCGAGAATGAGGCCCTGAAGGCGATCCACGAGCACAAAGAGACTCCGCCCGCCGGGCTATCCCCCGGTGAAGGAAACCTGAGTAAGTCCGTCCTTTGGTGGTGCCCATCGTTGATAACGAGTTGGATCATCATTGCTAAATAAGGCATGTTTCATATAGAACCATTAAACAAGGCCCATGCCCAGACACTGGCGGCTGACATGGCTGCCAACACTCCTCGCGGCTATTATCTTCACCAGCTAGCGTCCAATTTCCTGCGGGAGGAAGCCGAAGACACTCGATCGGGCAAGATCCTTCACAAACGCCTGTCACCAGCACAACAGCAGCAGCAGCCGCTCCCGCTGCTGCTCCAAACCTTCCAGGGTCTCAGCATCAAATCCGCAGAGTTTTGGCTTCCCGTGTGTCCATATTTTACACGGGCCGAGTTTGCAGCATCTTCGGTGTTGTACCGCGAGAATGACTACCCGGGTCAGTTCTACCTGTTGGAATCAGGTATGCTACGGGCGGAACATGCCACTCCACAAGGGCGAAGCTACTTTGAGCTCATCGTGGCTGGCCGACCATGTGGCGAGCTGTCCTTCTTTGGTGAGACGAGCCGCAGTGCGACCGTGAGGGTAGAACGTGATTGTGTAGTCTGGACGCTAGGGACGAAGGAGTGGGAGACACTCCAGGTAAAGGAGCCGACCGTTGCGTTGGAGTTGCTGAAAGTGTGTTTGAAATTGACAGCTGAGCGGACGGAGAGCATCACTTCGTAAGTTCTTCTTCTTACTTCCCTGCCCTCCCCGCTTGCATCAAGAGTTCCTTATCAATTGCACGGCAAACGGCTTTAAATCTTCCCCTGTACGCACGATTGGACATGGGTCCAATAACTAGCTAGGGGGAAGAAGTAAAGAGCGAAAAAAAAAAAAAAGGAAAGAAAGAAAAAAGAAAAAGAAAAACAAAAGAAATTGATAAAAGAAGCTCCATGGTCTCTCTCCCCTTGTACGATCGACCGGCGCTAACAGCTCATTTTAGATATGTTTTGACAGCCACACGCTGATTGCAGGTGCCCGGAGTGGACTGCCAGCGGTCCAAAGTTTTTCTCTTCCCCTTCTCGCAGCCCCATCGGTTCACTTTGCTATCAAGGGCGAACATGAGATTGACCAGCCCAGGGGGTGTGTTTTGCCCCTTTCCCTGTTTCCAGGCTACCAGTCTTCACCAAGGGCAGACGAAGTCTGGACATGATTACAGGCCACTCTCCTCGCCTACCGTAACGAATGGTTCGAATTGGAGCTGGTCAAGCTGGTTGGCAGCTGTTTCAAGTGGCCTGACGCAGGGGCCCTGCTGAGTCGTACTGTCGAAGCTCCTGGTGACAAGGCCACAGCTACCCTAGCCTAGCGTCGCAGAGAGAAAGGCCCCAAAAAAAAAGGGAAAAAGGAAAAAGGAAAAAAAAGGGGGCACTTTGGGCAGACCACACAAAGTCGCTTCATACATAGCTCTCGAACGAGCGAGCGGCGTGTTTCCACTATTACGCGATAGCAGTAATTTATGATGATTATGGTAACGACCTTATGATGACAGGTACCGAATTTCCATCTTGTCTTCGAATTAAGGTATTAGCTATCTGTATTGGCTGTAATTCCCGTATATCCAATCTCTGGCCCTCTGCCGTGTACTCCACTGATCAATAGCGTGTGCGTGCTAAGGATGGGTAAAGACCACCTCCATCTGGCGATTCGTTGCTGGCACCGCTGGCCTCGCCACCGACAGTCAACATCGGGCCCTGCTCTGCGTCCTCTGGCATCCTCGTCGTCTCATCTCCAGCGTCCCTCGCTGTCTATCAAACCGGCCCCCGACGAGGAGCGTCGCCAACGGGACATCCCAGAAAGGGCGACAAAAAAACGGGCGAAACACAGAGCGGTGGGCATGTGACTTGATGCCAAGACAAAAGAGAGTTCTCCACCCGAAATAGGGGAGTCACGTGGTATCAGGGGGGGCCTCCGGCTGGTCTTCTAGTATTTACTTGTATTATTATTATTATCATCATGGCTGCAGCGACTCTCTCGAATCAGAACTTAGGGGAGACGTGAGCGCGCGCACACGGAGCTGCATGCATGCATGCACTGTATAACTCGAGCAGTGACAGCCGGCGACTCGACGGCCAGCGACGGAGGACACAGAGTACCTGCATCGATCTGCCCGCTGCTCTGCTCGCTGCTGTGATGGCTTCTCTGGCGTGTCTATAGCGGTATCTCCGGGGCTTATGTAAGAGGACAGCAGCCCGTCACGTCACGTAACTGACCGTACGGTACCGCTGATCAGACAGCGGGAACACGCGGCGCTAGACCCAAACAGGCAGCAAGCGCGGCCTGCGCTATGGGCAACTGGGTCAGGTGAGCGGCCTGGAGCTCGCGGTACGGGTATTACGCGTACGGTCATGACGGTACCAGGGCAAAAAAGGGGCTGACCCGCCCAGCGTAACTTACCGCCCTTGTATCGCGCTTACCTTACAAGTCACGGGCTCCTCCCTTTTTTTTTTTTTTTTTTTTTTTTCCCTACCCTGTAATTTATCGCCCAAAGCGGAAAAGAGCAAAATAAAAACGGCCTCCTTGTCGCAAATATTAATCCGGCCTTTTCTCTCTCGTCCTCCTCTTCCTCTTCCTCCTCCTCTTCTTCTTCTTCGTCTGCTCCAGCTTCTGCCTTCTTGAGATACCCAGTGATACCTTTTTCTTTTCTTTTTTGCTTGCTTCGCCTTTTCCATCTAATAATTACCAGAGAGAGCCTTCTCTTAGCTATTTTAATCACCTCCTTTCTTCGCTTCTTCGTGATACCCGAGATACCCGTTTCCGCCCCTCGAAAAGGACGCCCGTAGCTACTTTTTAATATCCGCTTCATCAAAAACACCGTTCACCACAAAATAAAACACGCCCAACGAGCTCACGACTACAACAAATAGCCATGTCTGAAGTCCAGAAGCCCGTCGAGGAGACGCCCGCCGTCGTCCCAGAGACCACCCCCGCCGTTACCACCGCCGCTACCGAGACTCCAGCAGTCGCCGAGCCAGTGGTCGCTGCAACAACCACCACCGAAGAGCCCGTCAAGGCCACCGAGGAGGCTCCCGCTGCTGAGGAGCCTGCTAAGGAGGAGCCTGCTGCTAAGGAGGTTGTCCCAGCCACCGACGGCCAGCTTGGATACAAGGCCCCGGGACTCGTCAAGTAAGTAGTACAAGGCAGATACATATATTCATGCTTTTGGTAGCGAGGGAGGGATATAGGAGAGAGAAAAAAAGAAGAGAACAACACTAACAAGACTCTGGATGACAGGAGCTTCCGCTTTGTCAAGAGACACTTCTGGTTCACCGAGGAGCCCGTCGAGAGCAAGCAGCTCACCTCCTACTTCCAGAATGAAAAGCTTAGCTTTGCTCACCCCAACGCTGCTTGGGCCAGCCAGACCGGCAAGGGTCTTCTTTTCTTTGCCAAGCGCACTGAGGACAAGGCCAACCCTGCTGGTATCATCAACTTGGTATGTTGGAGGTCTAGATAAATTCAAGGGCAAAACAGAGAGGAGTTGGACTAACGCGTAGTTGTAGAGTGATGTCACCGATATCACCAAGGAGGGCAGCAACGAGTTTATCTTCAAGCTCCACGGCCAGAAGCACACCTTCCAGGCCGCCGACGCCGACGAGCGTGACAGCTGGATTGCCGCCATCGAGGCCAAGTCTGCCGAAGGAAAGGCCGCCAAGGAGGAGATCGTTGGTTGTGAGGGCTACAAGAGCGAGCTTGAGAAGTTCAGTACGTGACCATTTTGTAACCCCCCAATTTAAAGCTTATTTTATCGTTTTGACTAACGGTGGTGCAGCCAAGGTCCCCGTCGTTGCCGCTGTTGCCGGCACCGCCAAGAAGGTGACCGACGAAGCCAATAAGGCCGTTGATGCTGTTGTCGAGCCAAAGGAAGAGAAGAAGGACGACAAGAAGAGCCGCTCTCAGTCTCGCAAGCGTGCCAGCATCTTTGGAAACTTCCTCGGAAAGAAGGAAGAGCAAGAAGAGAAGAAAGACGAGCAGAAGGAGGAAGACAAGACTGAGGAAAACAAGGAAGTCAAGAAGGATGATGCTGAAACTACTCCAGCTGCTGTGACCGATGCTCCTGAGGTCACCGAGCCTGCCGCTGCCGAGGCCGCTGAGGCCTCTACTTCCGCTGCTGCTGAGCCAGCCGCTGATGGTAAGCTTAAACCTGGTTTACAAAATATCACATTCATTAAGCCCTCATTTACTAATAATTTGCAATTTTATTAGCTCCTGCTGAAGAGTCGAAGCCAGAGGAGAAGAAGGCAGAGACTCCTGTCAAGTCCAAGCGTACCTCCATTTTCGGCAGCTTCTTCCAGAAGTTCCCCAAGGAAGATCAGGACAAGGCCAAGAAGGAGGCCGTTTCTGAGACCCCGGCTGTCTCTAGCACTGCTCCCCAGCTCGGCGACCCTGTCGATGCCTCAACCTCCGAGCCAATCAAGCCGGAGACTGTTACTGCTACCGCTGAAGATACCGCTGAAAAGGCCGAGAAGACCGAGGAGGTCACTACCCCAACCTCGGGCAACAAGTTCCTCTCCTTCATGAAGAAGTCTGACAAGACCGAGAAGATTGAGAAGGCTGAGAAGGCTGCCACTGACGCCGTCGAGAAGAAGGTTGATGAGGCCGTCTCCAAGGCTGACGAGACTGCCACTGCTGCAGTTGATGCTGTTGTTCCCGGCCTCAAGGAGAAGCGCCGTACATCGCTCTTCGGCAACCTCGGTGGCAAGAAGGAGAAGAAGCCTGAAGTCGAGGGTGAAGCTCCCGAGGGCGAGACTAAGAAATCTAGTTCCCTCTCCGGACTCTTCCGCAAGCCCAGCAAGGCTGTCAAGAAGGAGCCTGCTCCCAACCCAGTCCCCGAGACTGAGCCCATTGCAGAGGAGCCCGTCACCGAGACTCAAGCTGCTACCACCACCGAGCAGGCTGCCAACGGTGAAGAGCCCAAGGCCACCGAGGCCCCCACCTCTGAGCCCGCTCCTGTTGCCGCCACCCAACCCGTGCCCACTGCCGCATGAAGAGCAGACGCCAGGACGAGCTCCGTTGAAATCGAAAAGTGGTGGGACCAGCGGTATTTGCACTGTCCTGGTTTGTCTACAGCATAACGATATCAACCGAACAAAAATAAAATAAAAAATCCCCTGAACACAGCACTTTAGCCAATTTAACACTCAACACTGTCCCGCCATCAAACCAATCCTTCACGCAGCCCAGCCAACTTCCTAACGAGCATGGCCATGACTTTGAACAAGAAAAACCAAATCCAGTTCTCTAAAAACCTCACTCTAATATATGTCTCGTGTGTTCGTGTGTGCCTGTGTTTCCCCTATCCTTTTCTTCTGTTTCCTATGTCTTGCTCTTCTTGTCTAATTAATTACTGGCTCGATCCATCCAAATTTCCAACTTGCCACTCCCTACTGTTTCGTCACTCCCTCTGTACGCGGTGATGATGCATGGCTGTCTTGTGGGAATTATCAGAATTTCTAATCAACAATCCAAAAAAAAAAAAAAAGGCGAGGTGGACGTGAATGATACCCATACCCGATCCCGATACCCCCGATACCCAAATCATACCGTTTTGTGCTGCTTGCGTTTCATTTCTTCCTGTTAATTAATTACTCGCTTTTAGTCCTGCATAATTCTGCTTCCGTTCAATTCTCCTTATCCAGATTGTAAACGTCATCTCTCCTCTCCCCGTATTTCCATACCATGGTCTATGATTTTGTCTCATGCGTTTCGTCTCTTGGACTCTAGTTGCAGTATGACTTGTTTACTACTTTTGATGGCTATGCATGCCGCTACTCTCTACTCAACCATCCAAATTGATAATTATAACTTTCCATGAATATTTTGCTCCAAACTTCCCCGACTTTTCTCATCGTAGCGCAAGTTACCACCCCCCCCCCCCCCCTTGTGTATATGCATGATATTATGATACATCACCTCCACCCACAGGCCATTAACCTGCAGGAGATGAGCAGACCGCATGATTTAAACTGGCGAATAGAGGCCTGCATTACACAGGCTCGTATTTTCTCCCCCACCATGCATCCATCCATCGTCATCATGCCACCTGTCAAACAAGGCAAATCGGAGCTTGATTGGCAAGCGCTTCATGTTCTCCAATGGAGAATATCAGTTTGTTGAAACGGAAACGGGTTGTAAGTACACTAACTTACACTTACGCCGGCATGTATCAAAAGAGACATGTCCATGCACACTGTGATAAGTAGACATAAAGTATACTGTATAAGGGATTTGCATATAAGTAACAAAAGTAATCAGTCAGCCAGCTCATTGTCAAACCAGCAGTTAATTCGTTCGACTAGCTAAATCCATTCAACAGCAGGCTCGCAGGGGGGTGAAAAACGTAAAACAAACCAAGGAAATAAAGCGAAAAGGCCTAGTTAAATATGTGGGGGAAATAGTTGATAATATGCTGTAAATGCATCATTGACCGCAACTAGATAAGAAAGGCTCTTAGAAAGTGCGTGGATAGATAAAAATATCTTCTCGGTCTTTGAACAAGTGATCTAACTGATCTATTTGAGGTTGAGTGGCTGGAAGAAAAAAAATGATATCAAGTAGTTTATATATCACCCGAATTGTAAAATTCTTTCTTCTCATTTATGTGCTTCAAGAGCATGTTGAATAGCTAGGTGCGAGTTAGTATCTATAATTACACACAGGCAAACGCAGTTAGTCTGGTAGTAGGACTCACCATCACAAGAAGTCTTTGCGTCTCCAAACAGCATCTTGGTACCAGGCATATAGAACATGGGGTTAGGCACATCAGCTATCGGATATGTTAGATTAAACAGGTCCCTTTTGGTTAGGTAGGAGTTCAATAACTTACCGTATCCGCTTGACATTCCACGCTTCATAACAATGACCTCTTTGCTCTTCCAGGCGTGCAAAACAGGCATTCCCGCAATAGAGGAGTTGGGCTCCAAGGCAATGGGGTTAACCGTGTCATTCGCACCGATGACGAGAGTCACGTCCGTATCGCCGAAGTCGTCGTTGATTTCATCCATTTCAAGGACAACTAATTTCCTTTGTTAGCTTTGTGCAATGCAGACACCGATAAACAGGAGAACCTACTATCGTATGGAACAGCAGCTTCAGCAAGCAGGACATTGCATTGCCCAGGCATGCGGCCGGCGACGGGGTGGATAGCGAATCGAACTTTGACTCCTTTTGCACGAAGCATACGGGTGATTTCTGATATGGCATATTGGGCTTTTGCGACTGCCATGCCGTATCCAACGACCTAGGGACATAGGTTAACAGTTGATTCAACAGATCAAGATTAGAGTAACGTACTATAATAACGCTTTCGGCACTCGCAAGAGTCTCGGCCGTTTCTTCAATGGAAGTCTTCGTAATCTTTCCTTCAATTTGGTGATCCGATTGTGCCTGGGTTGGTGATGATATTCCGCCGAATAGGACATTGGTTAGAGAACGGTTCATCGCGACACACTTTAGACAGTTAGCCTGGCGCTATTTCAAGAACTAGTTCGAAACATCGCTAGCCGTGGACTAACCATGATATATGATAGAATGGAACCGCTGATGCCGATAAGCGATCCCACTGTCGTAAGAAGTGGATTGTCAAGCATAAAGCCTTCGGCAACAAGCGCAAAGCCAGAATAAGCGTTTAAAACCGTTATCACAACAGCTATAAAAGTCATTTAGCAGGTCTTCACCAGGATTAAAGGATCAAGGTAAACATACGCATGTCAGCACCCCCTATAGCAGCGGTTGTCGTGAACCCCTTTATGAAACTGAGGATGGTACTCGCTGATAAAGCTGCTGCAGCTACTAGGGGAGCGCCCGGAGCCATTGATATAAATCCTCCCATGAGCGCCATGTTGGTCCCCAGTAAAGAGGAGTTTACAATATGTCGACCTTTGAATGCAAGTGGTTTAGATGCCATTTTCCCTGATAACTTGAGGAACGCCACGATGGAGCCGGTGAAGGTGATCCCGCCTGTTTATTCAGTGAGTTTAACATTCCCTGTTTTAGTAGTTATACGATTTGCGAAGGCTTACCTATGACTACGCCAGAGTATGCTGTAACAAGATGTAGGGTTGAAACATGGTCGATATCAGCGAGGACACTTCCAATACTAGTGAGGACGGCCGCGAGCCCAACAACAGAATGCAGTGCCGCTACCATCTGAGGGAGCTCGGTGGGAGTAATACGACGGCCGATCACGGCACCTATGTTATGTTATCATCGGTGAATAGAACAACGGAACACGATAACGGTAGAACTAACCAACCAAACCTCCGATACCAGCTAGTCCGACAAATTGGGCAAGAACTTCAGGAGAGAAGCCTACAGCAACCAAAGAGGCGAGAATACCAGAAGCAACGCCCAAGATACCAAGAGAGTTTCCTGCACGAGCAGTGGCCTGAGATGCAAGGCCCGAAATAGAACCTACATTGTTAGAAGTTGCAGATCACACAAATACCACAGAATAAAGTACATACTTATGCATAGAATACTGCTGACGAGGTATCCGGCTTGAATTAGACCCGCCATACCGGTGCTCACAGCTGCAAGGTACCCGCCTCCGAATAGGACACCAGGAATAGCGTAGAGCCATGGATATTCCGGTGGATCAGTAGGCCCTACATAGTAGTTATTAGTGTGCGGTGCCAAGCAATACCTCTGGGTAACTAGAGCTCACTCTTGAACATGTCCAGCATGCGTTTAGTTATGACAAAGCCGCCTGATACGTTGACGAAGGCAAGGAGCACAGACAATGCACCTAGGGCCTGAGGTATGGTTTCGGGGAAATACCCTCCACCCATGACGAATAGGCCACCAATTCCCACCATTCCTACATGCGAGTAAGTAGATAGTCGGTATTAGACAACGGAGAGTTACATTACCTGAAATAGCGTTGGTTACACTCATCAAGGGAGAATGCAAGGCAGGAGTGACGCCCCATACAACTCGATATCCAATTAAGCCAGCCAAACCCGCTGTGAAGACATTACTCATGAACAGTGGACCAGTGAATTTTCCTAAGGCGAGAGCTGTGCCCATGCCACCAGTAACAGTAGCTACTTCTCTTGAGACCTTTTGGAATGGGGTAAGTTCCATCTTAGCCGCGTCGGCGGAAAGAGCTGCGTTGTCTTTCTTGGGAGTTGCTGGCTGTGGAGGCGGGGCGGGCCTGGGAGCAGGGGGCAAAATAGAACCAGCATGGGTGACAATGGAGCCGCGGACGACTTCATCTTCGAGGTCAACACCGAACTGTTTCTCAACGGGGGCCATTGAAAGCAGGAACTTAGTGATATTGTTTGAGTACAGCGTAGACGATTGCGTGGGTAGACGGGATGGAAGATCAGTGTATCCTATGATAGTAACGCCATTGGAACTTAATACCAGCTCCCCAGGTTTAGTCAGGACACAGTTCCCTCCAGCCTCTGCCGCGAGGTCTACCACGACAGAGCCAGGCTTCATGGCCATGATCATTTCTTCAGTGATAAGTTTTGGAGCTGGTTTTCCAGGAATCAAGGCTGTGGTAACGATGATGTCCACTTCACGGCTTTGTTGGAGGAAGAGCTTCATTTCAGCTTCGATGAATTCCTTGGACATTTCCTTTGCGTAGCCACCAGCGCCGGAACCGTCTTCTTGGATGTCTACCTCGATGAATTCGGCTCCGAGGGATTGAACTTGTTCACGAACGGCGGGACGGGTATCAAAACCGCGGACTATGGCACCCATACGACGTGCCTTGATTTTTTTAGTATAAACCATGATGCTTTATATAAGAGTGACCGTGGCTTACTGCCGAGATTGCGCTGAGGCCAGCAACACCAGCACCGATAACGAGTACCTTTCCGGGTGGAATCTACACTGCATTAATTATGGCAATAATTGGAGTGAACAGCAAAACGGACCTTGCTATTGGATGTTAGTATTGTATATGAATGCGGGTAAGCGTAAGAGCATACTCACCCTGCAGCAGTAACCTGACCGGGTAGGAATCTCCCAAAATGGTTAGAGGCTTCTAGTATTGCCTTGTATCCCGCTATGTTTGCCATTGAACTACTGGCCGTTAGTTTTCCTTTTTGTCTCTGTGCTGGTGGAGTACTAGGTAGTTCACCTGAGAGCATCAAAGACCTGGGCACGGGATATCCTAGGAACCATATCCATGGCAAAGGCGGTGACGCCTCCCTTGGCCAGGGCTTCAACCAGGTCTCTGTTAAGTGCCGGATAGATGAAAGATATGGCCGTAGCACCATCCTTAAGCAAGCCTACCTCGCCACGATTGAGGCTGGGAGCTCGCACCTTGAGCACGATGTCGCTTTCCCAAACGTCATGGCGGTCCACCAAGCTAGCCCCGGCATCTATATATGCCTTATCCGTGAACTGGGATGCTGCACCAGCCCCACGCTCGACCAGCACCTGCCCGAACCCTTTCTTCAGCAAGAGGGCGGCATTAGCCGGGGTGAGAGAGACACGGCGTTCTGACGGGTATGACTCGAGAGGCACGCCGATGGTGAGGGAGGAGTACGGGACCGTTTTGATCTTGCTGTCACTTTGCTGTTGCTGCTGCTGGTAGTACTGGGACGAGCAGGAGAAGAAACGAGCATGCTGCCCGAAGCTGACCACAGCTCTCCGCAGGGAGGTGAGGTTGTTCATGGTCGCGTGTCTCGCAGTAGGTGGAGAATGGGTATCATTCTACTGGGTACTACCTCCCAGACGGCCGCCAGACCCCGTTGCAACTATGGTTGAGCAGTGTTAGCATCTATTAAGGGCGTATAGATGCGTTGTAGAAGTGTTGCTGTGGATGTTGTGAGGGGTCGACTGGGATAAGCGCGGCCTCTCTCCGCAACGAAGCTCCAGAAAGCGCGCGATCTTATCTTGATCTTATCAACAAAAGGCCGCAAAGACGGAGGATCAGGCTCCGCCTTATGTAATAGGGAAAGCTTAGTCATCAAGGGGCTCGTGATAAGGCCTTGGCATGCTCTTCCCCACAACTTCGCTTCGTTCGACAAAGAGGACTACTGGAAGGACAAAGTCAACCATATTATGGCCAAAAGGATGGAGTCCGCACTAAAAATGGTAAGCATCTAGGTGGCAGAAAGTTGGCTGTTTGCATTCCTTCACTGCCATATTTGCTTGCCGTGTGTGCGAGGCCTTAATTATCTGCAAGTCTGTCTCGACATGCAACATAACACTGATCAAAGAGAAAGCAGTATATCGCTTCTTTCATTCTATATACTTCGAAGTAACTGCTGCTGGCATGGACATAAGGATACACCCAATTGTCAAAGACGCCATCATTCTTTATACGGAGTAGCACATGCAACCATTCACCGTTCCAACATACTAATCTTAAGAATAGATTGATACGGAGTACAAAATGTCGATAGGACCGCGGGAACGGCCTGGAGATCACTCGCAAAACGAGATGTTATTTATAGTTAACTCGTAAAACGAATCATAAAGGGACTGTTAATTAATAATATATAACCTTTATTTCTGCAACATCCGCTTACGATTAAGCATACAGAGGACGCGTTGGGGCGTCGTCTGAGGAATGAAAGATTCCGTCGGACCTGATGTTCCTCTTAGTCAGCATACGGCCCGAGATAACCTTGGGAAGCTTGGCGTCCGTCACATGGCCGCATCTCCGCGTTCTTCCGAAAAAGGAAATAGGTAGGTACCTAGCAGCGCAGTGACCACACCGTGGAAGAGAGAAACGCCAGAGAGAAAACGCAGGCAAGTAAAACATGGACGGAGAATGGGGTGAGCAAAAGATATTCAGCGGAAAGGAGAGAGACAAGCGTCTGTCTCGAGGCTGCAAGCTAAACAAGAGGGGGGATTGGCAGCGACAGGCCGAGTGATCCGGCAAAAGCGGCGAAGGATGGCTGCCTGGCTTCGTGTTCCAGCGCTGGAGTGCGCAGGCTGAGGCGGCGTTGAGCCGCATCTCGTTTCTTCTGCAAGGGTTCGCATCCACGCCAGAAGCGAACTATCGGTTTCAGCTGCGCCCACCACCGCCCACGGCCGCCTTCCACCCTCTCCCTCGCGCTGCTGCTGGCCTCGTCGTCCTCGCTGGCGCCTCTGCTGTCTCCTCCATCTTCCCGCGTCTCGCTGCGACTTTTCCTCGTCCCGCGCGGTCGTCCTTTCTGATGACTAAGACAGAGTGGTTAAGGTTGCCATTGACCAATCAGAGTGCGGAAGTGCAGTGACTCATAGCTGCAGCCCCACTTTCTGCCGCTCTCGGTTTAGCGCAGAGTCGGGTCGCTCGATCGGGAAGGCGGTGGGATTTTACTGCCACTCGCGCGCCCTTTTTTTTTTCTTATTTTAAAAACTCGCTTCGTCGTCGTCTTTTGCTTCGTCTTTTTTTTTCTTTCTCTCATCTTCATCCTCTTCACGCACACAAAAAAAAAAGACATACACATAAACACAGAAAAAGAAGATAGACGGCGAGATACCCGGCATCGAGGCCTCAGACAAACGCCAGACGCAACCATACAAGCATTCCCTGACTTCGACTTTCTCTTCTCAAGGCTACAAGATGGCCTTCTAGACGCAGGCTCCAGCTCGCTCGGTCTCTCCCACCAAGAGACAACAACCACGTTGGATTCCCACGATTATACCACTTCACCATCAACTTCTTCACCCCCTTCAGAGCCTCCTTCCGGACCTCTGAACGCATCTTCTGATTTGTCTCGTGCAAACCCCGCGTTCTCTTCCTCCACCACCATTCCCCAGTTCGACTTTACGTCGTTCACCACGGATAACCAACGCCCATCATGGCTTTCCCAACCACAGTCCAGACAGCCTTTGGCTACAAACAATCGTCCACAGCAACCGCAATACAGTTACAACAGTCTCCCTGCCTCCCTGCAGCAAGACTTTCAGCTCTTCCCGACTCCTCAGCCGCTTGCAGCACAACCCAGCAGCTGGTCAGCTCCCAAGAGCTCTCGTCTGGTTTTGCGTCAGAGTATCCAGAATACCCCTAGATCTGGTTCTGCAGCCTCTGCTTTGCCTACCAGCAGCAGTCGTACCTGTATCTCAGCCCCGCAACCGGTCTTCTACTCGCCTAGTGTAAACACTTCTTCATCTCGCCTAGCCAGCCAAAGCTTGCGTCCTCCTGTACCCTTGTTCGTGGATTTGGGAAAGAAAACTCCAGTCCATTTGCAAGATCAGATCAAGAACGCCGCAATGGAGGGTACGTCGGTCGCTACTTCTTCGATTTTGACCAACACTAATCCCTCTCTCGCTACTACTATAGACTATTTTGACTTGTCCGATACCTACGAAATGCAGGGCAGTGACTCGTTGGCCTTGAACGGCAGCCAGCCACTTGCCCTTGCAGACGCTCCTCCCCTGACTGTTTCTCCCCAAGAACTTCTCTTGGACTCTTCGTGCCCGCCTTCCACCTGCATGACCGATCTCAGCACTCCATCCTTCGAGTCCCCCGGCACCTTCAGCCACGACACCTCGCCACTCTTCAGCACTGCGGACGATCTCTCTGCTGACCATGATGGCTGGGAGTCGCTCTTCCCCGGAGATCCGCTGACCACTCTCGATGAAACCCCAAAGCTTTCGGCGCCTGTTCTGACTCAGCCACCGGCTCATCGAACTGTCCAGCAAGAAAGGATTTCTACCACTGCTTCGTCTTCACCTGCTGTTAAATCTCGCTCTTTTCCAACGCCATCACCTCGCTTGAGTTCTCGCTCGTCATCCAGCCGCCCTTCATCGGTGTCCGGGGTCACTAAGCGAACTCGTGAAAAGCACCCTTTGCCACCAATTGAGGTTGATCCTTCCGATCCTGTCGCAGTCAAGCGAGCTAAGAACACCGAGGCAGCCAGAAAATCTCGCCAGCGGAAGGTGGAACTCCAGGAGTCACTTGAGCGTCGTATTGAAGAGCTTGAAGCCGAACTGGAGCAAGCCAAACAAGAGGCCGAGCACTGGAAAGGTGTTGCTGGGCACACCGGAAGCTAATCCTGAGAATGTGACTTTTACTCGTTCAAGTCAGTGACTTTATTCTCAACACTCTGTTACCCGATGGGCCTCCGCATCAGAGTCTCGTCAAGAACAAAGGCGTTGTTTGCGGAGGCCCACGGGCCGACCCAACAATTACACATGTTGTGTAGTGTTGTCTGTTCTCCTACTTATGATCGGTTACCCGGCGAGTCTCCGAATCTACTACAGTCTGAAAAAAAAAAAAAAAAAGCATTCATTATCAGAGACTCGTCGGGTAACCAACTCCCTCCGCCCAGACGGCGTTGGAGAAAAGTTTCAGTTTCATCATTATCTGTTCCTCTTGTTCTATGTTCAGGCTTTTACATCCCTCTCACTGCTCACCGTCACTGATGTACTCCATTCTGCTCTCAGCTTACTCTTTCCCTGCCGTCTGATGTCTCCTCTTTTTGCTTCTCAGCCCAGCCCGTGTTGGTATGTTTTGCGCTAGGATTGACTCGTGGCTTTTCTATTTCTCTTTCTCTTCCGATGGACACCAGCCCTCTAATCCATGGTTCTTTTCCATTCCTACGCTGATGTCTACTTGTCCTTCACACGTGTTGTTCTGTCGATGCGTTTATCGACCCTCGCCTTCGGGGCTGGTAGTGGTCTAGATTTATTCTTAACCAATGTGCTTTTTCTGAATAGGATAGTATCCTTAACAAAAAAAAAAAAAAATCTAATTCAGTTGCTATTCATTCTTGACAATTCCAAATGACGCACTCTATATGTGTAAGGCTATGTCTGTAAATACTGCGCCCTGTCTGCAATATTGCAGTTGACCCAATCCTCTGGAGATGAACCTGTCATGCTCAGCTCTAGCTCGGTGAATGTATACACAGTGAAATCGAACGCACGTCTTCAAATATGCGTTTCGTTGGTGTATTTCTCTTACCGCGTTCGGCACTGTAGACGATTTCACGCTCATGTATGCCGTCTGCATTGCTGCATTGAAAAATATGGACTACAGCTCTCCTTGTCTTGACACAACGTACTCCATACGTCCCTCTGCAGCTTGGTATATGTAGCAACGGGTAAGTCCAAACTGTAGAGGGACTCCAAGTATCTTGTAAATTAGGTAGACGATCTACGCTATTAACTAATGGATAAAGGTGTCGTCTTAGGAGTATGAATGTGGTTGAACCGAACATGTTCCTTGACGTGAATATTCGGTTCTGGTATAAATAAGTTGAAAAACGGTGCGCAGACCTAGATTATGCCTGGTACCATAGTGCAGATTCATTCATAGGCGTATTTCAGCAAGTAAGGAATCGGTGGAATCACTCGCAAC